TTTTGTAGAGAAAAAGCATGTTCTTTCTTCCTTGTTTTCTTTTCTTGCATCATATCATGACTTTCAAACACTTGCAGGTGCAGTAATGTGGAAGATATTTGCAATATTTTCTGTCTGAGTCACATTTTTGCATGTTTCAGATCATTTTATTTTGAAAAAACTTGACTTCTTGCATTACATAAGAAGAGTTTTTACCATTTTGCAGAAATAAAAGCACGTTTTTCTTCCTCATATTTCTGTTCGTGCATCATATCATGACTTTAAAACACGTCCAGGTGCAGTCATGCAGAAGATATTTACATTGTTTTCAGTCCAAATCAAATTTTTGCCAGTTTTAGAATATTTTATTTTGAAAAAGTGACTCTAAACATCTGTCATGTGGAGGATATTGACATTATTTTCAGGCTAAGTTTGCCTGTTTTAGATCATTTTATTCAGGAAAACTTTGGCTTCCTGCGTTAGACGACAAAAGTTTTAGAGTTCTGTTGAGTTTTCTTTCTATTGTTGCTTTGCAGGCATCAGATCGTGACACTTGCAGGTGCTGTGATGTGGACGATGCTGGCGTTGTCTTCTGTTAAAACCCAGTCTAATGCAGATTTTGACACCACCAATCACAATAACAACACAACTTTATCAGCACTAAACTAACAAACTGAGACATTTGAGGGTTTTTCCGTCTGAAACTAGCACAAGTTTTAAGAGAATTTGCAGAAAATCAGCAGAAAAACTGACGAACACCAACAACGTCTGAGTCCGCTGAGCTCAGCAGTCTGTGAACACTGAGGCTTCAGCACCAAGACGACGGCAAACCTCTGAAGACGTGGCACAAATATTGTACATGTTGAAGATACCGAACAACGGCAGCAACGTGTGGAACGTCTGAGGCTGGAGAAAAAACTACGGAGAGGTTTGGTTTTTACCGGAGCAGCTCAAAGACGCTCGGACCTGAACAGAGGATCGACAGCGAGGTTACAACATGACGTCTGAATGTTCTGAAACGCTGCTGCTGGATGAGCTGCTTCTGCTTCATAATCAGTGTTCAGGAGAGCAAACAAAGTCTTGTTTTGGTTCAGAGCATTAATAAAATACGTTTAAACCTTCAGTCTGTCAACAGACGACGTCGTGCATCAGCAACATATACGTGCAACAACTTTTTAAGGCAACATTTAAGGTTGTTGAGGTGGCAGCAACTATTTTGGTCTTAAGAAAGGTGGAGATTTAACCCCTTTAGCTGCTGTTTCAGTCACACCACGTGGAGGACGTTGGTGCAAAACGGAGCTCAGATATCAACGTTTCCGACTAAGTGGAAACATGTTCATACCACCGTTTGCATTTTGCATCCAGCAGGTCAAACATCCAGCCTCAGTGTCTCCTCAAATACAAACGAGCTGCAGAAAAAGGTTCCAGCTCCGCAAGAAGCTGCACAAATACTTCTGCATGTCTGCTGTCACACAATCAGAAATATAGCTCAAATAGCACAGTTTCAAACTAAGAGGTTTTATTTAACGCCACAATCCACGTTTTGCATCCAGCAGGTCAGACGTCCGGCCTCAGCGTCTCCTCAAACACAAACCGGCTGCAGGAGAAGGTTGCAGCTCCGCAAGAAGCTGCAGCAAACATCCCTCTGTACAGGAAACATCAGATCCTTCTGCCAGTCTGCTGTCACAACATCACAAATACGACGGCTGGAAGCGTAGCGGCAGAGCGAGAGGAACGAGGAGGCGACGCTCGGCGGGATGTGAAATATCAAACGCGTCGAGGTGCGTTTTGGCGATTCGTCGACCCGAAGCGAACGGACCGCGCGCCGCCTCGGTGCGTCCCGTCCTCTGGCCTCGCCCCAGCCTTTGGGAAACCGCTGCTCTGGCGGCTGTGCGGGTCTATAGAGTTCTAATTAGCTGCATTCACAAACAGCACCAGGCTCATCAAAATGCCGAGGCCTGCAGAAAGCCACAGCAGGGGTGAGCCGAGCGAGTGTGTGTCGCATCTCGTGCACGAGTGTGTGTGTGTGTGTGTGTGTGTGTGTGTGTGTGCAGGAAGCAGTGTGATTTGTGTAACGGTGTGTGTGTGTGTGTGTGACACGACTGTGTGTTCAAAAGAAAAAAGAAAAAACAACAATCCCAATACGAAGATGCACATCGAGGCAGCAACAACTAACAACCGCTACAAATTCTACAAACCGGCCTCTTCTGCTTTTTCTTTTTTTTTTTTTTTTGGTTGTCGTTGCCAAAAAAAAAAAAAAAAATCGTAACATTTGTCGTCCTCTCTCGCAATTTGTATGCGCGGCACGGGAGCAAACGACATCGCCGACGAAACCGCAGAGCACAAACAACAACAACAACAACAACAACCGAGCGCACGACGAAGCGGTAAACAAAGAAGACGCCTCTCGCCGTCTCTCTGTTTTCCAGCCAACTAACAAAATGGCTTCCGAGCGGCGTTTTAGAGGCGAACAAGACGAGCGGGAAGCGACAGAAACGACCCGTCTGCTTTCTGTGAACACCTTCCAGGAACGAGGGGATCCTCCCGGTTGGTCCGCGAAGGTTCTCGGGTGGTTACAGAACACGTTTCAGATGCGTGGAAGGAGAACGCTGGGAAAAACCTACAATCACAGCAAAGAGGTAGAATGAACACATCCACCGGAGCAGCAGGAAAGGTGGAGCATCTGCAGGATTAATTGCAGTTTTAAATGCAATATTAACCCACTTATACACGGAAATGCAAACATCATCAGTTTGAGAACGCTGCAGGTTCAGGCAGCGACAGAACGGGTAGAACGGTCGCATTTATTCAGCCGCTACACGACACACGGACACTGTTATTCCCATTAATGCGTCTTTGTTGGCTCAACCCAAAGGTCAAGTCTGGCTTGACTCTACACCCGATGGTGCTGCAGCCGTTTCTTCCAGAATAAGAAAAAAAACTGCAAAAATAACATTTTTCGTTAGCTTAGCATGCTAACAGCGCTTCGCAAACGAGCATAAAACACGTGGAGGTGGTTCGAAAAAACTGGATCTCAGGTCTTACGTCAGGTTTGTTCGAGGGTAAATGAGTTTCAAATTAGTCAGAAGCATTCAGACAACTACGGGCTTCGAGTACATCGACTCGACGTGAACACCGAGAACTGGTCTCAAATTAGTACCATCGCAGAATTTAGCTCCATCTGTACAGGACTAGCGGCTAGTGGTTCGTAATAAATGTAGAAATCGCCTGCAATCTCGATCCTGTGTGAAAAAAATTCCACCACAAATCTACCACCAGTTATTCACCAAACACGTCCTGTTACGATATCAGTCCAGTGCACATCAGCGTTTCTATGTTTGCAGATTTTTTTGCAAAGGGTTCTTTCCTGTTTGAGAATTACGGCCACTGTGCTGCCAGTTATAAGTAAAAAGTTTTGTGTACGAATTTAAGAGGCTCGTGTTAAGAAAAACAAAATCTCACGAGGTGTTTCAATGGACGAACAGCATCTTAACGTCACATCTGTAACGTCAGTAAAATGGAAATTATCCACAAATCATGATTCATGAACCACATCATTGTCATGTTTAGCATCTCTGGATTGTTGTCAGACTGTTTAGAGGTCGAGATGCAGATAAATCGTAACGAAAGCTTGAAGAAACCGATGAAGCTGCCTGAACAGAAAAACTGGGAACGACTCGACCGGTTACTTCAACGATATTCTCCCTGAAATCAATGACATGCAAACTGTTTCTCAAACCGAACAAAGCATCTCAGCTACTGGTGTGGAGACGTTGACTTTTTGCTTGCGACACGTATACCAGTCAGTCATCTCACAGACTGTAAATCAACCACAAATCAGGAAAACAGACATGATCTCAAAGTGTACCGATACAAAGAAGCAGCACAGGTATCAGTAAAATCAGAAAAAACTGGAAGGTGACATATTTAAGGGTAAAACCTGAAACTTTGACCCCAACAGCGAAGACATCTGGTGGAACAACACCTTACGAAAACACTTTTTGTTGGTATTTCTGGTCATTTTCCCTCAAAACTGTGAACTGGATGAATAAACGAGTGAATTAATTACTAATAAAGAGTCTGTTTGTGTTGTATTTCTGGTTCTGTTGGCTTCTCTTATGACTGAATTGTCAGATTCTTGATGTAAGTGTTTCTGACGGAGCTAAAAGCGTCGCTGACAAACCTATTTACAACGTGACCGAGTGGACAAACGAATCGATGACTCGTGTTTGTGAGTTCGTCCCACATTTACTGACTGACCCAATGAACTCACCAGCGAAACAAAAGGACGAGTAGGTCAGAATATCCGACTTACTGACCGACTGAACAGCCGGACGCAACGTCATCGATCAGTTTTAAAGCCCCGTAAAGTTAGTTTAGACCACCGACATCAGCAGAAACACACAGATCTCCACAACACTCAGGCAGGAAAAGAAGGAGAGCGGCGAATCAGAAAAACAGGATGTCTCCGTCAGGAATGAAGCCGAGCAGCACAAAAACAGACGCGTCGCCCCGAAATACAGAGAAATCACATCATCGCCTCGAGATGCCACAACATCCAGGCGTCGTCTACTGTAAAACAGAGCAGGAATTCATCCGCCGCCCAAAATAGACCCCGACAAACGCAACGTCTGCTAAAAGAGACACCTGTTCCAGGAGTGTTTTAAATGAAACTCTACATTCGTGAAGTAATTTAGCCAAAAAGCACAAATCAGACAGTATTGACACATGGATTAATCAAAGTCATAAAATCAAACCAAAGCCGCCCGATTGTTTGGACAAAACACGGCACAGGAAACACCAACAAAGCCGACGAGTTACGCTTTAAGAAAAGAAAAAAAAAACGCTTGGAAATGTAAAGCAAAAGCAAAAAAAAAAACAGCATAAAAATGTACAGGAACACGGTTTACCAACACATTCAAACAGCAAGCGAAGCAGCAGTGAGCAGGTGTAAGAGGAAGGAGGGGAAGGAAAGAAGAGGGAGGGAGATTAAAAAAAAAAAAAAAAAGAGAGAGAGAGAGAGAAGGCTGACGTACTTGAGCCGGAGAAATGTCCGCTCCCCAGGGAGGTCGGCCCGTTCTTTCCACTGCTAACAGGAGGGGAAAACATCTACAAGACAAACAGAGCGCACATTACCTCCGAGAGCACTGACACTGCAGGCAGCAAAGACACTTCTACAGAAACATCACTGCAGCTACACATGAAGAGCTTCATTCCAAACAAAAAAACAAACCAAAAAAAAAAAAAACACGCCGCCGCGACGACGTTCGGTTCGCGACTGTTTCTCAGTAGCTTTGAGCAATGTTGTGAATTTAGCGGTGACGCGTGTTGGTTTTGGCGTCTAAATCTTGTTTTGGACGGAAACTTCTGTCAACTGTCCGTCATGAGCAGGGCTGGGTTAGAATTCCTGTTGACAAGATGCCTCTGATTGGACGCAAGTCACGAAGATAAAGGTTCCTAATTGTTCGCTGTACAGGAGCTTTTTGGAAGAAAAGTTTAAATTGGTACTTTTTAGAACTAAAATCTCTAAGTTTTTGATTTAAGCATAAATAAACTAAATAATATCCCCGACTCAGGATTTGAAGGCATCTGAGGTGGGATAAAGTCACAGGTTTGGAGGTTTTGGAGGTCTCAACTAAGTCTGCAATCATGGCTATCAAGTTCCGAGTCATGACAGGTCCAAGTCCAGCTTCAAGTCCCAGGAGAAGTCCAACAAGCCAAGAGTCGCATCCCAAATCAAGGCCAACAAGTTCAACAACAAGTTCAAAGTCAGGGCTCAAGTAAAAACTCAAGGCCCAAGTCCTGCATCTGCAAGTCCCCAAGACTACATCAAGTCCCTTGTTTTCATGGGTAAGTCAAGTCCCAAGTTAAGTCCAACAAGTAAAAAAATCAAGTCCTAAATCAAGGCCAACAAGTTCAACAACAAGTTTAAAGTGAGGCTTAAGTAAAGATGGCCAAGGCCCAAGTCCTGCATCTGAAAGTACACATAGCTAGTCCCACATCAAGATTAACATGACCAGAACTCTAGTCTTAGCAGGTACCAAGTCATGAGAAGATAGTCCCAAGACTAGATCAAGTACCAAGTTATGACAGGTAGGTCAAGTCCCAATTTAAGGCCAACAAGGTCCAAGTGAAGCCAAGCAAGTCTCACAGTTCCACATTAAGACTGACATGTCCAGAGTCAGGTCATAGGTCAAGATTGGCAGGTTCCAAGTCATGGGATGATAATTTAAAGACTAGACCAAGTCCCGAGTTAAGACAGGTATGTCAAGTTCCAAGAGAAGTCCAACAAGTAAAAAAAAATTAAATTAAATTCCAAGGTTTCAAAGTTCCACATCAACACGAACATGTCCACAGTCCAGTTGTAGGTCAGGGTTGGCGTGTTCCAAGTCATGAAAAGATAGTCCCAAGACTAGACCAAGTCCCAAGTTATGACAGCAAAGTCCAGCCCCAAGAGTAGTCCAACAAGTGAAACGTCAAATTCAAAATCAAGACCAACAGGTTCCAAATGAAGGTAGGCAAGTCTTAAAGTTCCACATCAAGACTTACATGTCCAGACTCAAGTCAAAACAGCCGAGTCCCAAGTGACGGTAAGAGAGGTAAGTAAGTATGTAATGTCCCAAGTCAAGGCCAAGAAGTTCCAAGTCAGAGTCCAACGGGAGACAGAAAAGGCCCAAAACCTGCATCTACAGTCAATTAGTCCCACATTAAGACTAACATGTCAGGAGTTAGGGCGTAGCAAGTTCCAAGACTTTACTGTTCCAAGTCCAGACCTAATAGTCAAAAGTCAAGTCCCAAATCGAGGCCAACAAGCTCCAGGTCAGGGTCCAAGTAAAGTTGGCAAGGCCGAGGTCCTGCATCTGCACGTACAGTCAACTAGTCCCACATTGAGACTATCATGTCCAGAGTCCAGCTGTAGGTCAAGACCTGCAGGCTTCAAGTCACAAGAAAACAGTCCTAAGACTAGACCAAGTCCCGAGGTGTGACAGGTAGGTCAAGTCACAAGAGCAAGTAAAAAAAACGAGTTCCAAATAAATTCCACATCAATACTAACATGTCCAGACTCAAGTCAAAACAGTCAAGTCCTGAGTCCTGGCAAGATATCACCAAGTCACGTCCCAAGTCCCAAACCAGGTTCCATCCATGGCTTTGTTTCCACTCCTAAACAAGTCATAAAACAGAGAAACACTTTGAAAACAGTTCAACAGAAATGCTGGATTTCTTGTGAAAAATTGTGAGATCTGGTTTGTCTTCAGCAGAAAACCAGTTTTGTTGTGATTTGAATTTTTCCCACATTATCGGTAACGGTCTGAGGTATGAGGTTTGATTTGATTGGCTGCCGTAGTTAAGAGTACGCCCAGTTTCAGGGAATACAAATCAATGACTTGGGTCTTGACAGGGATATCAAGTCAAACAGAGTCACGAGTCCAGTTTGGATTTTTAGTCAGTCGTCAGATCCTCGTCCCCGAGTCCACACCTCTTGATGCTCGGCTTGTTTTGGCACTCGACTGTTTCCCTCCCGATGTACACGTTTAAGGTTGGCACCCAGCCGCACTCAGACTCTCAGCTCCGACGTGAAGGGGTTCATTTTCCCAAACACCGCCACAAAAAAAAAAAAAAAAAAACGACGTGAAGGGGTTCATTTTCCCAAACACCGCCACAAAAAAAAAAAAAAAGAAATCAAATTCCTCATTCAAAAGGCAAAAACACGGGATCGCTCACCTCGACGAAAAATCAGCCGGCGGGGCGCCGAACGTCGGACGGCTCGGTTTTTTTTTGTGTTTGTTTTTTTTTCTGTTGGAATGAAACCCTTGGTATCTACTTCATGTCTGACTTAAACGTACGAGATAATCATCAGAACTAGTTGCCATCTGCTCTACAGGAAGAAACAGGCCCACGTCAAGACAGAACGCCGACTCCTGCTGCGTTACTGTACGAGCCGCTGTAAGAGCTCGACAACGCGACGGCTATCGAAGCGTCACATCTGATAACCTCTCTGCGGATGATCTGGGCTTCACACTTTCACATGCTACAAGCTTCTCTTTCTTTATTTCTTTATTTTTTTTAACTGGATTTAGTGGGAATTGTTCTTTAAATAAAAAACAATAAATAAATGAATAAAGACTGACCATAAACCCTGACTGAAAGCCAAAAAAGAAAAACAAAAGCAGCAAAACGCCGTTTCTCAACGCGGCGGCCCTTTCGAGTGTCGGCTTCGATCTCCCTCGCAGCTGCGACGAATAAAGGAGGCAAACAACAAATGTTTGGGAGATAAACGGCTCTAATTCCGATTATTAGCAGGTCTATCGATTTCCCCGCGAGCCGCCTGTGTCAGCTTGTGGGCGCGTAAAGACAGATGATCGCATAAATTAATATTCGGCCTGCGTTTTTAATGAGAAGAGGCGCGTTTTAGCTGCTGCTGCCCTCCTTTGTTTCGAGGGTTGTTGTTTTTTTTTTTTTTTTTTATTCTAGACATTAAATTTAAGACTGAGCTGATTGACGTTTATGGAAAAACCTGCAGAAAATTAACACAATATCCATCAGTGGGCTGTTTTTATCCTCATTTAAAAGCACTTTCTGGTATTTTTAGCCCACTTACATCAGCTATACCACCACATAGAGGAAACTGCACATTTCTATAATTACAAATAATGAATTAAATGATCCTATTTTATGCATTTTTTAAAAATAAAAGGTCACAATAACATATTTGAAATAATACTCTGACTGGGATTAATGCATGTTTCTTGTGTTCACTTGCAAATTTAATCATCTTATTTAAATAAATGTCACCAGAACCTTCTTATAGAGTCGTGTGTGCCACTAAATTAAGATTTTTATTGCGCTTTTCCCACCAGTGGTCTCTCTATAGGGGCTTATTTAAGGTAAACACTGACCCAAACACCCAACAGAGTGCGCTTTATGATTATAATTTTGCCAAACGAGTATATTTTCCATCTGCAGCTTTGATGTAAATGAAACGCCGTCCTGCTGTCCAGGTACGCCAGCTGACTCCCAGGCTCCTACCTACACGCCGTCCTCTCACACTGAAACCGTGCAGGTTGCATTGTTCCTATAATAGCTTCTGGCTTCGAATTCTTCATAAGACTTTGTGTAATCTGCTCCGTGGAGCTTCACGCAGGCCTCAGCTGTGCAGCAGCATTCCTGAAGGGAGTCGAGGACGCATTTAGAGACATTTTCTTTCCGTTTTAGCGTCCCAATCTCGCAAAAGCTGATATTTTCTGTCAGGCAGGCCTCCTGCAATATCTGGAAAACCTTCTCAGGCGACTCCCAGACTCTCATTTGGATCCTATTTGTTCATTGCATTGATGTTTTTTTTATAGCTGCTGACAGTGTTGGTGGTTTTTCTTTCCTACATTTGCAAAAACATATAAATCCTGATTAAATCTAACTCCTAGAACATCTAAAATCTTCCTGCATGGTCACTTGGACCTGATGTGTTTACTGACGTTCTTATAGCTGCTCACAGTGCTGCAGGTGATTTTCTGTCTTCTATTTGCACCTCTATCGTGTAAAAACGTGCATTTTCTGATGTATTATGTTAAAAATGAATGCTGGAATCTCTCTAAAATGTCCCTGCATTGCCATTTATGTCTTATTTATTCATTGCACTGACACTCTTACAGCTGCTGACAGTGCTGCAGGTCAAATCAGTGATTTTTTTGTTTTGCATTTGCGCCTCAATCTTGTGCATTTTCTGATATAACATGTTAAATAGTGCATCCTAGAATATCTTCTCCTCCTGTTTTGTCTCTTGCTTTGCACAGACGGCCTGAGATCTTATTGGTTTATTGCATCACATTCTTATTTCTGTCTTGTACGTGCACCTCAGTCTTGTTAAAATACATATTTTCTGACATGATTTGTTGAATATGCATCCTAGGATCTCGTCCTGCATGGTCACTTGGATCTTATTTGTTTATTGCATTGAGTGTTGCAGGTAAACATGCTGGTTTTCTTTCATGTGTCTGCATGTCAGTCTCTATTTTCTGATATAATAATCTCTCCACAAATCTTGTCTGCTGATTGCATTCACGTTCTTTTAGCTGTTTACAGCGTTTCAGGTGAAATTTATTTCTTATATTTGCATCTAAATCTGGTTAAAACGTGCATTTCCTGATATAATGTGTTAAATTTGCCTCCTAGAATACCTATAAAACCTCGCAGCACTACTCCTGCATGGCACACACAGCATTTAACATCCTACACTTTTATATTACAGGTGATTTATTTTATTTTTTTGGTTTAATTCTTTCTTCTCTATGTTTGCATCTCATGCAGCATCACGTCTCTAATTCTGATATCATTACTTTGCTCCTCTACGTTTCATAACAGGATTAATGGAAGCCGGTTTCTCTCCCTCTCTCTCTTCATTTAGGGGTGTTTCTGATTTTTTTTTTTTTCTCTCTCTCCTCCTCTTCAGACCAAAGTTGCTCCCAGAGGAGGAGAACCAGAGAAAACATGGCCGAGCCTCCTGAACTCCTGAAGCCACACAGGCTGCTCTTTAGAATAAAACCAAACTTTAAATCACGGGACGTTCAGCAGCCTCCTGCACCAACACTTTGGCTTTTTCTTTTTTTTTCTTTCTTTCTAAAAAGGCGCAGAGAAAGTGTGACACATTCCTCTTTTTTTTTCTTCCCTCTGCTGCCTGTCTGTCAGTCTGTCATGCAGGTTCATGATTCAACATCGAGCCTTTTTCTTTCTTTTTTTTTTGTGCATCTTAAACATTCACGGTGCATGAAAGCAGCCCAGAAAGTCACACAGAGAAAAAAAAAACAGGAAAACATTTTACTAAATAAAAGAAACCTATCATGGGCAAATAAACAGAAAATTAAAAAGAGGAATAATCAGGCTACACATGAAGGAAAAAAGGACTTAAAATGAGATATACTACCATGGATGTTGGGAACATTTTCAAATCGCTGTTTCGCATCTATAAGACAACAAAATTACTAATGCAGCATCACAATTCTCTGCACACACACAAGCAAGAATTCAAAACAACACAAAACCAACAATATGCAACTGACTTCTGTCTTTTTCTGCAAGTTACTCAACAAAAACACTCAACTTTTTGTTTTGTTTTGTGCAGAGTGTTGAAATAAAAAGAAATGAAATCAAATGTGCAGGTTTATGTGCGGTGCATTAAAAATGTAAAAGCCAACAAACAGGACTCGCTTCGTGTTCATCATCTACGGCTTCTTCATTCTAAGTCAATATGTGGAGAATAACGAGCAGAAGAAGGTGGATGTTTTCTCTCTTTTTCTTACCGCGCTGAAATCCAGTAAGTCGCTCAGTTCCTTGTCGGTTCCCAAAGCTGCCATCCGCTGTTGATGATGCATTTTAGCAAAATCTCACGGACCTAAAAACATGGAAACAAACGGAGAAGACAGATAGACAGAGGAGGATAGGTGGACAGATTGATAGATGGAGAGACAGAAGGGAGAGGAAGAGGAGAGGAGAGAAGAGAGAGGACCTCTGCTTGTTTTTTGCGCACCGCTCCGCTCCTCCGGTTCGCTTTTTTTTTCTCCTCCACAGCGAAATAAATCCAGTTTAAAAAAAAAAAAAAAAACAGAAGAAAAAAGGAAAAAAAAAGAAAAAACAGCCTCAAAAGCCTCGATGGCAAATCTAGTTTTCTTTCATCCTCGGAGGAAAAGCTTCAGTCCCGGGTTCCTGGTTTTGGCAGCAGGAAATAAATCGCAAGAAGAAGAAGAAGAAGAAGAAGGGAGAAAAAAAACTGACAGGAAATCAAAGAAGGGGGGCGACAGATCGGGAGTTTTTTTTTTTGTTTGTTTGTTTGTTTTTTTTTCACGCGTGTGTTTTGGTGTTTTTGCCCCCAAACGAACAAGTCCGACCGCCCCGCGCAAAGACGCAGTTCGTGTCCGCCGCGGCTGCCTGTCAGGCTCTCGCGCGGAGGAAACACGGAAAACACCAGGAAGCAGAGAAATCACCTCCGAAACGTGCGTGTGCGCGGACCAGTCTCAGCGGGAGAGTCCCGGCAGGGCGAGCGCTCGCTGCTGCTGCTCCGGAGCCGGCTCAGGGTGCCCTCCGCTCGGCTGCGGCTGCTGAAGATCCCCGGGTGCGCAGGACGGATCCCATGTGCGTCTGGCACAGCCTCGGCGCGATAAATGCGTTCGTGCGGCCACCTAGCTTCACATCGTCGTCTCACACCGAGCTGCTGCCGCCGCCGCCGCCGCCGCTGCTGCAGGAGAGAGCTGCAGATCCAGAGCAGAAATAAAAGAAATTTGGAGGAAAAATTGATTTGTTGCTTTTGATTGATTGGCTGATTGGTGACGTGATTGGCTGCTTTCATTTGAATCGGATTAATTGGGCTAATTGGGGCAGGAGAGGATGATTTTTAATTATTTTTTTTTTCTTAACAGTGTTTTAACCCCAAAACTTGTTTTCAATCATTACGGTTTATTTTGAGTGAATTTATGTCTGATTTGCACATTTACTTTTCATTTCACCACCTTTCGCACATGCGTACACACACACACCTGCCCTCCGTGGACGCGTCTCCCCCCCACGTGTCGCTCAGGTAGTTTTTCTGCAACTTATTTCTTGTTGCAGTGAAACAAGTGCAGCTTTGACCTGCATGCTCTCCCCCCTACGGGTCAGCACTCCAACTACAGCAGCTCCACACTCTCCTCCTCACTTTGCAATGCTCCCTCTCTCCCTCTGTCTTTTTTTTTTTTGCTCTGTGCAGCCCACAGCCTGCAGGTATAAAATGACTGTCCTATTTCTGCAAATTACACCCTGCATGTGCGGGTTTCTCTCACAGAGGAGGAAAAAAAAAACAGGTGCAGTTACAACATGAAGGCTGATCTGTTGTGTAAAGTTGGTCGGCTGCAGCCTCGCAAACAAACTAAAAGTCACATTTCTGTCTTTGCACGTACGTTTCAGGATCCACTTGTTGTAGTTTCTAAATGCATAAATACACATTTTAACCCGCTACAAGCTCCTGCTCTGAGAGTACTTTCAGATATAAAGTGGACGGTAAACACAAGTTTCTTTTCTCTCCAGAATAAATCCCAGATCCATCATGTGTCCTTTTTGATTTATCACAAGCTCACCGGGGAACTGAACCATAAACTGCAACATAAATAGAGGCAGGACTCGGATTATTAGCCAATAAAATGACTCTGTGTTGCAGAAAAGGACCCCGAGACAAAATGTCATCGACAGAGTCACCTTGATGAGGCTCCATCACATCACAGCCCAGAATACTGACGCAGGACCAGACGATAGGAGCATCGTCTCCACGTCGGTCTTAAATCAACACTCTGGTGCTCATGTCAACTTTAAGAAAAGGTAACTCCGGTCCTCGAGGGCCACAATCCTGCATGTTTTAGATGTTTCCCTCTTCCAACACACCTGATTCAAATGATCAGCTCATCATCAAGCTCTGCAGAAGCCTGATAACGATCCTGATCATTTGAATCAGGTGTGTTGGAAGAAGGAAACATCTAAAACATGCAGGATTGTGGCCCTCGAGGACCAGGATTCAACACCCCTGCATCGATCCGCAGGTTCGTACCTTTAAAGGATTTTAAAGGATGTTTTCTACTTTCTATGAAGCTTCATCATAGTCTGAAGTTTATTTAGTGTAAAGAGTCCAGTGAGGAAGAAGCTGGTTTGGTCACATCAGACTCGTATGAAGCACTAAAGTGTTAAAACAAACAGAAATATTGTGAAGAACATGAAGAACGTTTTCATTGTTTCTCCATCAACCTTTCTCGCTGCAGAAGTTTTCGCTCATCCGAACACATCCAGTAATATCAAAACGCGCCGCATCGCTCGCATCAACCAGCCGAACTTCATTCGTACGGCACGTTTCATGCAGCGTCGTTGAGTTCAAACTGCTCCCCGGATGACTGAAAAGCCAAAATCGAGACAGACTGAGTGGAAGGCGACACAAAGCTCAGTTTAAAATGAATAAATGCAAAGATTTAAAGACAAAAGGGGAAAATAAACACACAAAAAAGGTAAAATTTGACAAAATGTGGGCGAGTTATTTATTATAATAAATGCTGCAACAAACTAGAACCGCTGTTTGTCTGGAAGAAGGAAAATCAGTCAACACGCAAAGTTCTGCAAGTTCAGCTTAAAGGGCAACACCTGAAGACGCTGTTTTGTTAGAAAGTTCCAAAACGACAGATACGAGAGCTTTTCTAATCTGACCGAGACGCAACAACCTTCAAGTTTAGGCGACGGAAGCTTCAGTTAAGGTTAAATAAAGAGCAACAACAACACAAACTCTAAAAGTAGTAAGACAGATACCGACACCGCGCAGAAGCAACCTGTTGTGTTCTGGTAATACATATCCTGTTTGATCGTCTATTTTCTTCTAAAAATGTACAAAATAATCACGATGTATTCAAAAAGTCTCGAAACTAGCTGTTAAGACCGTCGACTAATTAGGAAAATGTTCATCGAAGCAACAAATCGAGTTAGAAGTCGGGTCATTGTATCGTAGACTTCAATCGGGCTTGTTTTGGGAATGAGTCGCCCCCTGCTGGATGTTAGAAAGAATGCATCCATCTTTTAGATAGTTGTCATGATGAATTGCACTCCTGGTGGCCACAGGTGAGAACAGCAGTTTGTTGCATCACTGTAAGGAATTTAACAGGAAAGTTGCCTTCCACATAACATAAGATGTAAATTCAGTTTGGAAATACCGCGATGGTAAAAGTGTCACCTCAGATGGATTTAAAACGTTTTCTAAAAGTCTTAAAGGACGACGGATCAAATGACAACATGACGCTAACGTTTTTAGAGCTTTTTAGCCTCTTTGTAGAACCCATAGTTTGGGTTTTACAAGATAAAACTACTTTACAGTTCACGCGTTAACCTCAGGACAGACCTAGCTAGCAGCTAGCTAGTTCAGACGGTGAAGTGAGGAGTGTTTGAGCTAAATGCTGACTGTGGGTATGAACCTGCCAACAGCAACCAGACACTCGCTGAAAACTTTTGCTGACGGTTTGGATTGTCCAATAGAGCAGGCCGGCTTGTAGTTGTTGTTTTTTTTTCTGTGAATTAGCGACACCCAGAGGCAGCATGACGCGGTGCAGTCAGACCATCGTGTAAATGGTCAGTCAATGCAAGACAAGCCGGACAACTCAAACCCAACGCTGCACTTGGTTAACCAGACACAAAAAGAAGATGCTTCCCAACATGTTAGCATCAACATCTGTTTGTTTCCTCACACGCTAGAGGAAAGGAGGTCGTAAGAGTAGTAAAGATGAAAAAACAAAGTAAAGATTAACATGAGAGTCTGTGAAGACTCTCAGTCATCCAGGTCGTGGTGATTCTTGTAGATTAATGGTAGCAAAAGGACTTGCTTGAGTTCCTTGAATCAGAACTGATGAAGCCTCTTGGATGAACATCTTCAAGGAACTCAAGCAAGTCCAGCTGCTACGATTAATCTACCAGAACAACCATGAGAAGAAAGCTAATCTGTTGTTGTAATAATACATTTCACTGCTTTTGTCCAACACTATATCGCATGAAGTCTGGACAAAGACTGGAGAATCTGGTCCACACATGAACCGAACACATTCTGATCAGTGCTGGAGCTGTTGGGTTTGGTGTCGGAGCACCTGGTGAACGCATGCAGGAGGCTCATCAGCATGACACAGAGTTTCTATGAAGACGCTGGCAGGTCCATTTAACGTGCGGTCAGACCGATTCGGACGTTTGCCTTCTCACATACAGCTCCTCCTGGTGACGTCTGGAAAAGTTCAGGGCTGCTGTGCACATGTGAGAAACACCTTTTAAGGACATCACAGAAAGCAGAGTTTTGTTCATTCCCATCTCCTACGATGACCCGAAGACATCTTTGATTACGAAACGGCTGAACTGTAAACCTCTCCTTGCTGCTTCTTCTTCTTCTTTGTTTTTTTTTTTTGTTCCCGTTATCAGCATGTGAATGCAAAGCAGAGTTACATAACATTCGAACGACGCATCCCGGTTTAGTCTGAGTTTCGACCTTGAAACGGGGCAGGAACAAACAGTTATGGTCTGACTCCCAACACACAGCGTTTGTCACATCTGGGTCAAAACTGAACTGGAAAAAAATCAACCTTGAGAGATAAAAGTTTTGTGCATATTGAGATGAGACGGTGGGGAAGTTATCCTGGTAACACACCGAATACAGCAGGAGGTTTGTCCTGATTCCCCCATCAGAGGAGGGAGATGTACTATGTGATCATATGGAGTCAAGAAGTTGGGTTAAGGTACAAATATTACTTGGTTCGGTTAAGGGAACGGTTAGCAAACAGTTAAAAGAAATAAAGTTTAACTATTGCTGAACGTTGACCCATCCATCCAAACCGGCCTCATTTCAACTCCAGTGTT